GGTGAATGTAGAATTGAATTGAAATGTGAAAGTAGAATTTAAATGAAATAAGGTGAAAATAGAATTGAACTGAAAGTGAAAGTAGAATTTAAATGAAATAAGGCGAAAATAGAATTGAACTGAAATTGGAAGGTGAAATAGAATTGAATTGAAATTGGAAGGTGAAGGTAGACTATAATTGAATTTAGGAAGTGAAATTCGAGTAAGATTGAATTTAACTTGATTATTTGAATTGAATATTGTGAAGTGATAGAGATAACAGAAGTGAAAGTTAGAAGTTGATGTATAAATTGACAAAGTGAATATATATAAAAGAATTATAGTGTTTTGAAGATAGTCGAGACAGATATGTAGTGTTGAAATAAAAAAGTGAAAGTAATTGAATATATAAAGTGAAGAATTGAGCATTGAAGTGATAAAGTGAAATAAATAGTTTGAATATTGTAAAGAAGGAAGATATTTTGAGATTACCAGTATTGTGTTGTGATTGAATGTGATACGACAGTGACGCTTAATTGTACTAGTGAAAATTGATTGTGACAAGTGACGTAAGGAGAGAAACACAACATGGATCCTGGCAAAATAACATCAAGAGACTTGAAGCTTTTAGAATTAATGCACAAGTTAAAAGAACCTCCTGAAGTTGAAACAATGGATGATCTTGTTTCTTATATGAAACATTATAATGAAGGAGACCCAGATTTTACAAAACATGGGGCAACTGGAAAAACTGTTAAAGAGGAAACAACTATAATTAGCAGTAAATTTCCGAGGATATCCTTGTTTTACGGAGAAACAGGCAAGGGAGAAGTAACCTACTCTACATGGAAATATGAGATATGTTGTCTGTTAGAGGAAAAGACATATACAACAGAACAAGTTTTACTTGGTATTCGGAGAAGTGTTAAAGGAGAAGCGGCAAATATTATGAGAAGATTGGGAACAGGTGTAACTATTGATGATTTAATGGCTAAATTTGAAAGCACATATGGAGATATAGAGTCCCAAGAATCGATATTGAAGAAATTTTATGCCAGTAAACAAGAGACAAATGAATCAGTGCTCAAATATGCTGCCAAGTTAGAGGAAATATTTTCACAAGCAGGGGAAATTGATGCACTCGATCCCAAAAATGAAGGAGCTTTGAAAAGTGTATTTTATTCTGGACTTAAACAGCCACTGAAACAAATGTGTAATTACAAGTTTGAAACAGTCCATGACTATGATAAATTTAAAGTGGAAGTAAGAAAAATTGAAAGTGAGATGGATTCGATACAGAAAGAAACAACTGGAAAATGTCATGCTGTGAATGTGAAACCTGAAAAGACAGAATTAGGCGAGGTCAAGGAACTTTTACAAAGTATGAATGATAGAATCAAGAAATTAGAATTGGAAAAGGAGGAATCGAAATTTAACACATACAGAGGTAGAGGATTTAGAGGAAGTCGACATATGAGAGGAAATTTTTATAGAGGTCAATTTAACAGAGGTCGTGGTAGAGGAGATTATACACCAATTCGTCCCTTAGGTACAAACAGTTTTAGACCAAGTAACAGATATACATCAAGTCCAGACTCCATCATCACTTGCTACAAGTGTAATAAACCACGACATATAGCCAGATATTGTCAAGAACCTTTAAACTAAACAGTGCTTCTGCCATAGGACCAACCAGCGGCACTTATGGAAAACAACGTCCATTCCAACACGATGACAAAGGTAGAAATTTTGAATCTGAAACAATCAACGAACTTTGCAAATTGTTTAATATCGACAAATCAAGAACAACACCCTATCACGCCATGATAAATGGGAGTGCTGAGAGCTACAACAGAACATTACTTGATATGCTCGGAACATTAGAGCCAGAAAAGAAATCTGATTGGAAGAAATATTTACCAACGCTAGTTCATGCTTATAATTCAACAAAAGACGAAGTCACAAAGTATTCGCCTTTTGATTTAATGTTCGGCCGAAAGCCTGTTCTGCCAGTCGATTCGCTCTTTGGTACACAGAATAATGAAAATTCATCATCACAAGTAGAATATGTTGAGAAACTAAAGCAAAGAATGAGAGTTACCGAGAAATTAGTGAATAAGAACATTGAAAAAGCCAAAATAAAACAAAACTCAAATTACGATAAAAAAGCAAAGGCAGTGAGAATAGATATGGGAGATACAGTATTAGTCAAGATCGTGGCATTCGATGGAAAACATAAGATTTCGGACAAATTTGAAAAATATACATATGAAGCCATTGATCAACCTAATAAAGAAATACCGGTGTTTGTCGTCAAATCATATTATGGAGATACTAAAACTCTGCATAGAAATCATCTTTTCCCATAGGGTTTTATCCACAATAAAACAGACAAAGAGGAAAGTGATGCTATGATATAAGAATGATAAAGACAAGAAGACCTATACCTAAGTGTAGAAATTTGGTTGAAAAAGACAGAATAGAAGAAAAAGAAAACAAGATTTCAAAAGAGAGGACATTAAGTGACGTCACAATTACAGTAGCAGATAGTGAGGATTCTGGAATGAGTTTGTAAAAACTACAAGCATTTCTGAGGACGCTCAGACTCCATCTAACACAGAATTGTTTGATAAATTGTCTGAAGAAATCAAAGATAAAGAACCATCAAAACAGACAATAGAATTTGGTACCCACGATAATGACATTGAACATAACATCGACTTAACAGACAGTCCAACAGACAGTCATACTAAATCAGATAAAGAATTAGAAGTACACACAGAAGAAGAAGACATAAAAGACATCATCGATTTTACGGACAGTCCTACAGACAGTCATACAAAATTTGATGATGAATCAGGTTAACATACAGAAGAGGAAGAAGGAGCAACTGCCAATAGATCAGTTATTCAAAATGACGACACACCTGAAACAACAACACAAACAAACAATGACACAACCCAAAAAGAAGAGGAACTCGACCCGACTATAGACAATAAGAAGAAGAAAAAACCAATTGTTAAACCCAGAAGATCTGGAAGAGACAGAAAAAACCCTTCATGGTACAGTGACTATCACATAAATCAAATGTCACATAGATCTGTGGATAGATTACAAGCTTTAGACAATCTTGTATCTTCAGGAATTTTAGAAAAAGTGAATGCGAATATTTCATCTAAACTCATAGATGTCATCATGAAATAGTGATTTGAAATTTTATCAATTTGTTCAGAATTCCAAATTATTGTTTATCATTGACTGTGAATTGTGTATTACCAGTATTCTTTAGAAATGTGCCAGTAAGAATAAAGTGGTGAAATAACATGTTTCAACAACATGAGATGATAATTCATACTGGAAGATGTATGAATTGCAATAGAAGTAGAATGTAAAGTCAACATATGAAAATTCATACTGGTGAAAATATGAGAATGAGAATCTGACAATTCATACTGATGAAATAAGAAACTAATTAATATTCTTAGGAAATAGTTTTGACAATTCATACTGGAGAAAATACTGAAAATAATTGTTGTGGAGAAAAGAATTGTAGTGGAGAAAATTCCCGAGAATTCATGCGGAATTTAAGTCTATTGAAACTAATTCATATGGAATTATGTGTAAACGCTTGTAAACATAAGATTATTTTACCTTTGTTTAATACATTTTATTCTATTTTAAATTGTAGGGACACACTTTTTTCAGGGGAGAGCAGAAGTAGCAGTTGACATATAATGTAAAGTTTATTTATATTCATAATTATTTTCAGTAACAGCTGATATGCCTGAAAGCAGACTGTATTTTATGAATGTTCATAAACATTCAGTATGTTATATCTTGATGAAGATGTTTAATGTTAAATGACGAGACGTCATTTACCAAGGAGCAGGAGTGTGTAGCAGGGTCATATTTTTGTATGACAGTATTATGAAACGTATCAGCTCTTTCCGGTGTTTTATTTCTTTAGGTTTTGATAAGTTCTTGCTGGTCTTTTATTTTCTTGTTTTCTTTGTGATCTCGCGAGAGTTTGGCGGGAATGTCGTGCAGGTTTTGAAAAGAGTTTACATGGTTGATGTAGAGTACATTTTATTAATTTCAACTTGATTATATGATTTGCATTTGGTTGAGCTATCCAAATAATTATGAGAAGTATTTAAGGTAGTTTTGTGATGGCTGAAATGATTATTTATTATTCGGTTTATTTGCAATGTTGTATTTTACAGCGCGTTGAATGTTCCAAAACGGCAGTCATTGACTTTCTCTTTCAATTCTATATTTTTATAACCAGCATCTATTATATGTTTTAATCTTGTTCACAGTTAACCATCACGTGAGACAGGATGTATGTGATGTGAAGTGAAGTGCTATAAATTCTAATTTGTCATTGGTTTATCGTGGAATAGGCTTAAGATCCCTAAGATCTGTAAGTATAAGAGTATGTTGGTATTTATACCTTTTGTAATAATGTAAACATTATACATGTAATGTTTAACTGGTAAGACATAAGAGTACAAATGCTTTAATCATTTAGTGATCTTAATGTCTATGATAATAAGTTGTTTAAATGCTATGTTTATTGATTGTATATATTATATGTGCAAACATTGTTATTATTATGTCATTTCAGTGCCTTGATTAAAGTTGACTTCAATAGAGAAGATATATTGTATATTCATGAGATTGACTGTATATGTAGATTGGAAGCAATAAAATGAATTACCACATCTACCCTGTGTTATAACACCATGTGTTACACATTCAATATAAAATCACTTACCTATCCGTAAAAAACTTGTAAAAAAACATACATGAATTACTTCTATCAGTTGTCTTTTGATTTATAATCAATTGTCGATAAATGTTTTAATTGGAAACGTGTATTACAAGTATGTCCTAATTGAAGACTATAATGTAGTTCGAAGAACCGCCATTTTGTTTGTAAATGTCCATATTTAAATTGTTTTTATTAATTAAAATCATTTAAGTATTGCTTCAATTTATTTCACAATCTTTTTCCGTGTCTATTCTTTGCTTGGTTTTATTGTTTTGAACTCAAAGTTCTTCTGCCAGTCGTCTCGTATCACATGAAAAGTTTGTGATCTCCGAATATTTTCTCTAACACGGCCATATTCTGTTTCCGGTTTAATGTCGTACATCTTTACTGTAACCGACTGCGGCAGATTTTCCAACACGATAATAAAGTTCTGTAGACTTCTTGCATTCATTTCTATATCCCTCAACTCCACACGTTTAATATTCAACATGTCACGTGACAGTAACAATGAACTTTCTTCATCTAGATTGATGTTGTACAGCTCAACATTAACTAATGACGGTGTTGATATATTTAATTGTAGCCTCCCAGGTAAATAATCCAAGTATAACTTTGATAGAGATGAATGTTGAGACAAGTCCAAGTTCAATCTCTTACAATCACCGCGCCAGTCATGTTCTTTACAATATAACATGTACAATGTTAACTCTTTCATTGATTTTTGACCGGAGATAAAATTGTAAATTGTTTCCAGTATTTTGTGAGATATCATGAAGTAGCTAAAATGTAAATATTGTAAGTTTTGACATCGCGCCATGTTTTCACTGAGATTTTCTTCATCATTTGTCCATTTATCACACCGCAAAGTAACGTACTGTAAACTGGGAAACAATATCCGGCTTATCTCAGCCTCCTCTCTGGCCATCCTGCCACCTTTATAGTAAAGTTTCTGTATATGACTGAGATCTGTGAGAGAGAATAAATCTATAATTTGACGTAAACTGATGGAAGTATTGAAGGTGTCTATCTTAAGTGATTTTATGTTGGTTTTATTTTGTTTTAATAAACGTTGTAACAGCTTACTGTACACGGTGCGCCCGTCAATGAAGAAATCTTGTAAACATAATTGAATATTTTCACTTTCAGGCATTTCTTGTAAACACGACATGAACATTTCCTGTATGTTTTTCAATGGATTATTGTATATGGAGTACTCTATACCTGTCCTAGTTCTATAGTCGCGTGTTTTCACGTCTTCACTTATCACAGACATCAAATCATTTGATATTGCACACATCCGGTTTTCATTCATTTTACTTATAAATTCACAAATTTTTGACATGTCCAGAATGTCTTGAACATTTCTACATTTTTCTACAACAGTTTTCTGAGCGTCACTTTGAGAACTTATGAATATGGCGGCAAAGAATTCTTGCACTGTTTTGTGAGAAAACGATACTTTACTAAATTTTTTTGTAAGTGTCTTGGATGTACTTTCTGACAAAATTCCTGAGTGAAGGGTGAATTTCATCATGTCTTGTGTGAGATATTTTCTTGCAACTGATCCATCAAATACTAGCGTGGTTTCTTTTGTTTCATTGAATAATGTATAACAAGCCAATTTCCCTAAATTCAGCTGGAGTGGGTAGTATTTGGTACAGTTGTCATATTCAGCAAAGCATTCTGGGATGTCACTGGAAGAACGTTCCCACGATTGTTGAAGCTCCCCGTGGATCTGAATGGTTCTCGATAAAAGAAGCTCGACTATATTCATATACAGATCACATTTTGAATCTCCTTTTTGAACACCCTCACACCATAAACAAATAGTATATATTAAAAGAAGAGGCACAAAAGCAAGCTGGGCGTTTCGTCTCCTATTAATTGTTTGTATGAACTGTCTGACGTCACTGTCTAATAAATCCTTATTCTGAAGAGATTTCAATCTTTGTAATATCCTTCGTATAAGTGTGACGGCCGAGTCGTTACTTAATTGTGTAATTTCTACCTTTTTTCCTATTTGACATGAATTGAGATCCAAAACACCCAATTTCCATGGTCGCATGGTTGTCAGTAATGTACACATTTTTTGGTCATTCCTGTGGGGAATCGATCGGGGCGATCTGTAACATTTCTTGTCGGGGTGAGTCCATTCATCCAGTCCATCAAGTATAATTAGGCATTTCTCATTCTTCAAAATTTTAAGCAGGATATCTTTGGAAAGCGTTTCTTCAAGACCCAAATTTGAAATAATCTTTTCAAATATGAGCTCATCTATAGAGCACAAATCGTCCGAATCTCGCAATAAGACTAGGAATAAGAAATCAAATTCTTGCATACAGTCTACATCATCCTTTAACAAAAGTTCATTTAAGTCTTCATCCGGGCAATGAGCTTGACACCACACGTTAGCCAGATACTTTGAAAATGCAGTTTTTCCGAGTCCAGCATCAGCGAGTACATATATTTCTCGATTTTCTATATTTTTAGTTTTGAACAACTCCGATAATGATTCAACTGGTATTTTTTCATCATTTCTCGTCGATGTTGAGACTATTGAGCTCAGTTCCGGTCTGATATAGAAAGAAGCTAACGGAGTGTCTTTCTCTTCAAAAAGAGGCGACAGGAATATTTTACTGTGTCTTGTTTTGTAGAATTCAAAGAGACCATCTTTAACTTCTAAAATATATAATAAAACACACGTATAAATAGTAATGAAATTGAAATTAATTAAAAGAACAGATGATAAATGAAAACTGTATAAATATTTCAAGATACTTATTTGTTATTAAATACAAATCCTCAATGATTGTATAAATTTAAGCTTTGCATCAATGTACTGATTGAAATGACCAAGCAATTCTAATCATTACGAATATTTTAACCAAATTTAGACTGTCAATTTACAATCTGGAGATAGAAAAAGGAAGGCACAATAATATTCCAAGAGAAAAAAAATGTCGAAATTGTCCTCTTAATTTGTTTCTACAACATAATAATTATGAGCCGTGTCATGACAAAACCAACATAATGGGTTTGCGACCTGCATGGATCCAGCGCAGTCTGATCAGGATCCACGCTGTTCGCTATCAGTTAGGGTTTGTAAGCGAACAGCATGGATCCTGATCAGACTGCGCGGATGCGCATGCTGGTCTGGATTCATGCTGGTCGCAAACCCATTATGTTGGTTTTGTCGTGACGCGGCTCATATCATTTCTCATTAATATACAATTTACATAGATGTTTTTTAAACCATATTTTGTAGATGGACTGCAATGTAGAAATTCGAAACACTAATGACAATGACAAATATCAAAACAATTAAAAATCTGGCAAGTAATTGGTATTATGCACATTTAAAAAATGACATAACTTTAGATTTTACCCTTATAGTATCCATAAACACGACAACAAATGCTCAGTAGATATAACGGCTATGTAATCTTAGAAATATAAAGATTTGCCGTTTAATTGCTAAATAATGATATAGTGCAACGGTAACCAATATCTTTCTACTTCCTTTAAGTACATTTGTTTCTTACATGTACTATAAGTATTTTTATGCAAATTCTGTTACATATGTCGCAACTTTTATTTATACTTGTCAATAATACTTCTGGGCTAACTTACCGTACAGTAACTTAAAACACCTTACAACACACAGGATTTGAATTCTATAGCTAAAAAATTATGTAACACTTTTATGTTGAAAAATATATGTTCTATGAATAAATAAAAATCTACTTGTAACAAACAATGTCACGGATTTGAACCGTTTTTCAATGAAACAATATTGGCGCAACATGCTAATTAAAACATTTGTGACTATCAGTAATATAATTATTTTTATGTTTTTTCTTTTAAATAAATAGAAAAAAGTCAAAATATGTTTCATTTCGTTAAAAGAACAAAAAAGAAGAACAAATCAATCACATAAAAACATGTTTAGACTGTTTTGTTAATTTTTACATTTCATTCAGTTATATTAATTTTCATAATGTCAAAGTAACTATGTTGTGTATAACCTTTGCAGTGTTCCTAGATATAATCTACCAGTGCTGACTTTGTACCAAGACAATGCTGTTCATATTCATTTAAGTGACAGAACTTATAAATCGAATATTTTGTTCTGGTCAATCATTTAAGGGAATTGGGCAATAGTCTTTATAAAGCCCTTAGCACTAAATCATGCTATTGGTTCAAATGCAATAATGTCTACAATTTCATTTTGAACAATTTTACACTACCAAATAAATTTATATAAATTTATAAAGATGATTTGAGCCGCGTCATGACAAAACCAACGTAATGCGTTTGCGACCAACATGGATACAGACCAGCCTACGCATCCGCGCAGTCTGATCAGGTTCCATGATGTTCTCTTATTAACCCTATTACAAGTAGTGAAACTGATAGCGAACAGCATGGATCCTGATTAGACTGCGCGGATGCGCAGACTGGTAAGGATTCATGCTGTTCGCAAACCCACTATGTTGGTTTTGTCATGACACGGCTCATTTGTTTTTATATTACATAATAACAGTATTTATTCTCCACGATATTCTATATAAAGAGGACAATCACAGATTAAGTCGCTCACCTGAAAACCATTGCAATGTTTATACAAATTCCAAAATTAGTTTGATTTATAATGGATGGACATACCGCAGGAACTTGAAATTCTATCATTATTAATGATAATATCCAAAATATACCCCCTATACAGTATAAATAAACACTTATTTATACTGTATAGGGGGTATATTTTCGATAATATCATTAATAATGATAGAATTTCAAGTTCCTAGCAACTTCGATCGAATTGATAAAGATTTGAACAATCACGACGTGTGTTACTGACAATAAAGCCAAATAAAAATATGTACTTTCTATACTAAAAAAAATGTAATAATTTATTCACTTAACAAATGACGTACACTTTGAATGGATCAAGTTGTTTTTTTTGTATGAAACACTTAACAACTTTGTTTGTCAAACATTAATCATATGTTACGGCACCTTTATATTCATGTATGTCAAATCAGTGGAGGAAAATAAATCATTGAATTCTCTTTTTCATGTCTTCATATCACTGCTGCATGTACACAGCAGTGAACGGTAATTTAAAGAATAGACAATAATACTGACAATGTTTTAGTGTATGATTTAATACACAGACACTTGGGAGTCAGACCTAGATTTAAGGGGCCCCGGTCTGACCCAACGAGTGTCTGTCTATGATTATATCAGTGGTCAATGTCTCGCTCTACGGGAATAGAGTATTTTAGGGCTAACATTTGGACGAAATGCGACACAATTTCCCGTCTTAAGGAATATATTTTCTTGCTATTTCTTAAAAAAAAACAAAAAAAAAACAACAACAACAACCCAATCAAAAAGAGATTGTTTACTTTTTCATAAGAGTGGAACGGACACTGTCGTTTGAAAACAAAATAGTATTGATCCACAATTGACATTTCTATCTTTATACATACAGAAATTTCATATACATTGTATCCCCTAATTCCCCCTGTCTGTGTGCATGCCACTATTCCACTTAATTTTGAGGGACAATCTGACCGTAAATTACCGACTCCAAGTGTCTAACATTTCTTAGCTTCATACACTGATCCGGAGGAACAAAGGAAATGAAAAATAAATATTCCCTCCACCCCCTCCAAATATTAATTTAGACCAGTTAAAATTTACTAAGTATTTGTCCGGCATTATAAATTACATGTGATAGATAAAATCAATCAAGTCATTATCAGCAGTATCCATTTTGTGAATGGAAAAGAAATATGTAAATTCATCTAAAAGTTAAGTTATAAATAATAAATACAAAAAATACAACAAATTCTTACCAAGACATTATTGGAAAAAAAAGAAAAAAACAACAAATTCCTGGTTAATTATTCTCGTCTGGAGCCGTACTAAATGAACTGCAACTGACATAATTTAATGACAATTTCATATGAAGTGACAACTGTCATTAGTTCTATTTAAAGATTATTAACTCATATGGCGCGAAAATATCATTAAATGGCGCGAAAAAAGCTTAAGGCTATCGCAGTAACGCAACAGTGCAAAGAAGGTAAAAATCGGCCTAATTCTAAAACTTTCGGACTGGGACTAGAATTATAATAAACCTTGAATGGGTTATATGTACATACCATTTTCCGTCGGCGGACTTCTGTCATAATTAGTCAGCGCAGAGATAATAACACATCGCAAATGTTTTATTTTCTCCTATTACTAAATGCCCAGGCTATTGTTTTATATATCTTATGATACAGAATTTCTTGAAAGTATGGGGGAAAATGTCAAGTTTTATTCAATTGTTATGTTGCATCCTTATAATTATGCATTAAACTTAAGAATGTTCATTATAATATTGAATGTCACAAACAGGAAAAATGGAAATGTTGCTGGGTCGGTTTGTTTGAGCCTGTTTATGAACGGTAGTGGTGAATGCCTGGCAACATTAATGCCCTTAAGCACATACTTTGTCTGAGCTAAGCGGTTAGACTTAATCCGAATTAAGAACCGTTTTCAAGGTTTTTCGCCGTTTAGCAATGATTCCAGCATGCACCAGTCCTTTCTTAGAAAGAAATTCAAACATATTTCTTTCAAAAATTTGTTGTTTTTTCTAAAATAAAATAAAACAAAAATGTAAACTAGAGACTACAGATATATATAGATAAATACACTTTAAACTCCGTAGATAATTGATTAAAACTGTTGTTAGAAAAAATATATTTATCATACAACATACATAACGGATGTACAAGTGCAACCTCTTAACGGAAATGCACGAGAAACATATGCAGTTAAATTATCTCGAAGTTACGCGTGAGTATCCGTTAAAACACATACGTTACTGGCCCGTCTGTTGAACAAAGCAGAGGATGAATTGGATTGACGTGCATCAATGATACTAATACGCTTCACAATATGGATTCCCCTACCAAGATTTGATGATTATCAAGTGCATTATTATGATGTCATATATGACGTCAATAAACCAGATGACGTCAGTAAAATGCTTTTACGTTCAATGTAGTTCTATATATTTTTATCAATTCTTTATTTTATTCGCATGTTAGAATGGAAATACATATCATTTTTCCTTGCATTATAGATCTAGTAGGTCTATAATAATGCACGGTTTATTGTTCAAATTATTTACAATTATTTACAATTTCTCAGGTCTTCGTATTTCCTGCTATCGGTCTTATAATCCTGCGCATTTGAACTCGAAAACATGCATTAATTACTCTACTAAACATTGGTATCTTTTTCCTAATTAATATTTTCCCTAGCTTCATAGACAAACAATTCACGACAGAACAAGTGATAATCACAGGTGGCAGTATCAGTGTTTGGACACCCCACCCCTATCTGCCCCTGGAACCCTACTACAACCCTGAAAAAAATAATTCAACACTCTAAGGCTTACTATAAGGTACCAAATACAAAACCACCGATGAAATTATATAAGAAAAATTTCCACTATCAAAATTATAGTTATAGACAGGTGAAAAGCCTACTATATGTTCATTTGCCAAACAATGTGGAACACGGGAAAACGTCGTTTCGGCGACTGAGGCGCATTCCGGAGATATTTCGCTGCATCATTCATCAACATCAATAAAAAGAACTTGAATTCCACAGCTGAT